AGAAATTATTTTTATTTTCTTATAACCAACTTTTTTTTTAGAGTTTGTATGCAAAGCAAGTCACTAGCAGTATGCAAGATCAGAACGAATTATGATATGCTGTCTGGAACCGAAATTTTCTAATCAATGCTTGAAAGAAACAGGGCCTCTTCTTCCCTTTCTTTTTTAATTAATAAACTACATTTAAACCCAAAACCACCAAACCACAAGAAAAAAAAAAAAAATAAACCCCAAACTACTTTCAAGTAAAAAGTAATGACATTCAAAGTCTCACTGAACTAGAAAATAGATTTGCTTTGGAAAACCAAAGTGCTATAGTCCTTGTTTTACAAATGCTGAACAGAGAAGGAAGACCAGGAGTTTATATGAAATCCACACGAGCTTGATTCCCAAATGGATTTGGACACTAATGAGAAACTGCAACTCTTCAGAAATTCTCCAGCATCTTTCACAGCAACCAAAAGTTATACTTAAAACTGAGGCTGCAGCACAGCACAACATAACACAGGATGAATCACATCACTTAGTTGAGGTTTTTTGGTCAAGTCTGCGACAGCCATCATCTTAAATTATTCTGACAAAAACCTCTATGTGATCTAAAATCTGAAGTTTAGTATTTGATACAAAATAGTTTGGCCTGGCTTTTGTAAAAACAACTGATACCAAGGCTATGTTTATTTCAGATGACCTGAAAGGAGAAGACATTCAGAAGAGTGGAACCTTGTCAAAAAAGCAGAGATTAAAAATTGCTCTGTTTAAAGGACATCTCCCTGCCCCAAGCACAATGAAGTAGCATTGTTTATTCACTAGTTCTTACTACAGTACTAACTACAACACAAGGGCACTAGTTCCTGGTACACCCCTGAGCATATTATTTCATGAACTGCAAACTTTATAGAGCCCTACAACTTAGAGAAATTTTAATGTGTACATCACCTAGACACAAATGCAGCATCTATTTTTGGTCCCTGGAGGCCACTGCTGAATAGCCCGAAGCACAAGAAATTCAACTGCATTTGTCACACTGGACAATTTCTAGTGCATCCTTGGACAGTGATCCACACCACACAGAACGTACCACACATGCTGTGCTAGCAGGATCAGCTTTGCTCCATTTTTTATCAACTGCTTCACAAGAGGTTTTTAAAGCCCTGACATTGCTGAGAGTGCAACAGCAAACCTCATCCATGCTCAAATGAAATGCAGCTGCTGACAGCCTCAGTGGTAAAGAGACACACATTTTGCTACTCTCCATGCAGGACTTCCAGCAGAAGGGACATATCTGTCAATAGGACCCCCTCCAACTCCTCCCCCACTCCATCCCATGTCATGACTTACAACCCCAGGACATCTCCACCCAAAGTCCTCTATGCCACTGATGTTCATCAGAAGTAAACTAATCTGAAAAGAAAATTTACAATAATTTTCCCTTACTGCAGTATGGCAGACAATGAAAAGATTCTCCATGCTTTGTTCTGAACATGGTTTGTTGTTTAACCTGTAACCATCTCTCTCAGTAAAATGAGACTAATATCTAGCTGTGCATTGACTGCAGTAAATATCAATAAAAAATTTCAGCATCTATATAAAATGGTTGCTACCTTATACGATCATTAAATCATGTAACAGTCCAGGTTTGGCAGGACCCTCTGACACCACCTGGTCTCCCATGAAAAAGGAAGCCTTGATGAGGTAACTTATCAAGCACCCTGTCCAAACATATCCTGAAAGTCTCCAGTAACAGAGGTTCCATCATGTCCCTGAGGACATTTTTCCAGGAAGTGATTATCCTCCCTGTTAAAAGAGTCTTTCTTGAAGCAAGTGAAGCCTCTCCTGGTGCAATTTGTAGCCATTGTCTCTTCCCTGCTCTGCATGGATCCTTGTGAAGAGAAAGCCTCCATCCTCTCTGTACTCACCCTTTAACATTATGTTACTCAATATTCAGCGTTTCCTCTGGATGCAAAATTGGAACAAAGTTTGGGAACCACTGCCTTATCAACGAGCAACTATGAGCCCTCAAGGTCCCTCATCACTAGTACACTCACCTTGACTTTTCAAGTTTCAACATGCAGCCATTCTAGAACTTCCAGGAGGTTGAATCAGGCTGATTAGATAAAGAATTTCCAAACTATTATGCAACTGTGAATTACTCCCACAGACCTCACAGCCCATCACTTCAAACTTTCTAGTTTGTGAAACCAAACACCAAAGGAGCCTTAACCTTCATCCTTAGAAAGCTTTGTTGCACCAACGCATCTGGTCACAAAAGCACCCGTGAATGCTTTATTCTAACGAATCGTGCTGGTATTGCCCCCAAGCTTTAACTCTATAAATGATCAGTGAGTGCATACCTGCTGTCCAACAGACACATCACCTTCCTTCCATCAAATACATTTAAATGTTCAGCCAATGCCGACATTCCACATTTCATTCTCAGACCTGTAACATACACTTACAGAGGACTTAAACTTAAAATCTGCATCCTCAAAGCCAAAACTACCTAATTTTGTCAGCTGTTATGCTACAATGTCATCAAATTAACACTAATTTATATTCCTAATACCTATTTTGTACTATTTTACCAACCATTAGCCTTTTTTTTTTTTTAAGAAAACGATGGGGTGGTGTTATGTCCATATTTTAAATGTCTTTATGGATGCTGTTATGTCCATATCCATGTCTTTTCTTCACCCCAAAACTTCAAAAACGAAATCCAAAACATTAGTTTCTACAGTTAAAACTTTAAATTATCAAAACCACTTAGTTCAGAGCTTCTTTTGCATGCTACCACTACTGACTTTAGATAGCAGTCCCATTCCAAAAACAGTAGCATATTTCATTTCTGTAAGTTGCAGGTTTTTTTGACTGGGCTTTAAAAGTGTATTGAACATCCTCAACCAGGAATTTTCCCTGAGTAGTCACATGGACTTAAGTGTGTGACCTGTGGGTTCTTCCACTCAGCAAGTGTTGCACCAAGACTAAACAAACACTGACTATATGGGGCAGGGATCAGATTTAAGTGGCCACCATTTACTGATGAGCACAGTGTGAACACTGAACAAACTGCTTGTGCCCACTTAAAACAAAAGCATTCCAATTCACCCTTGGACACAAATGGAACTCCAGAACAACAACAAAAATCAGCCTTGAAATGGCAGTTTCACCACTTTGTTGAAGGATATGTGCTGCAGTATGTGCCCTTGTACATGAAAGCATGTTCATTCAACTTGAAGCAGTTTTAAACATGAGAACCAAAATGCTTCAAAAGCAAAATTTTTTTTTAATTACTCCATCCTCATAATACCACAAAAAAATTCCACCTAGTACATGAATGGCAACCTTACTTCCACATCACAAGTGGAACCACAGATCTGAACCACAGAAATTAGCACAAAGGTTTTTGAAAACTCACTCCAATATTGCAGTATATTTAACACTATTATAGCAGTTCTCAAGATATTAAACTGCTTGCTGTTTTACTAGTAGTGCTGTCCTTCCCAGCCTTATTCCCAAACTCAACTCCTAAATTTGGGGATTTCTCTACAATATTTACCTTTATGTATGGAAGACTTCCCATAAAAACATAATTATGTTTATGTGCCTTGTTACCCATCAAACCAAGCATGGAGCACAGTCAGAGCCATCAGCTGAGTGAGCACAAAACCAATCACCCCTCTCCTCCTTGACAACAACTTACAGAGACTGAATCACCAAAACCTTTTGTACAGACAAGGACAAGTGGGTCAACTGACCACTCTGATCAGTCTTTCTCAAAAACTGCTACTGCTGATGAAAGCAAGCACATAAACACACAAATCCTCTTAACTGTCCCTCTCCTGAAGACTCTGCAGAGACCTCTGAAAGACTTTCTTTTAATCACCCAACTAAATATTCTCATTTTAAGGTTTGTTTAATCAGAACCACATGGCTGTCTATTAAAATGCCGCGTGTAGAGGTGTCCGTAGTCATGCAGAAGCACAGTGCAACAAACACCTGAGAATCTTGGAGTCAAACACTGACTTCATTTTACACTTCTGAAATGAGATATTCTACTTCTGCATAGTCTACGAAATAAATTGTAACTACAGTGCAGATTAAAGTCGTGTTACTCAAGCCACACACCTGTACCTGTAAAAACTGTGGAAAAAATACCCGCCATCCCTAGAGGTGTTTAAAGAAAGATTAGACGTGGCACTTAGTACCGTGGTTTAGTTGATACGGTGATATTGGTTATAGGTTGGACTGGATGATTTCAGAGATGTTTTCCAACCTAACTGATCCTGTGATTCTGTGAATATCTCTCTATAAAACCCACCCACGTTCCCCGAAGGCCCCGCACCCGCGGGGAGGCCGCTGTCCCTCCGGGCCCTGCCCCGCCGAGCGGCCACAGCACCTCCCATCGCCACCTCCATCCCGGAGCGGCGCTCCCGGGAACCTGCGGCCCCCGATCCGCGGCCCAGCCCCGACCCCGCCGGCCGCGCCGCTCCCGGCCAGGCCCGCGGCAGCACCGGCGCCTCCGCCCCGGGCGGGCCCCGCTGCCCCGGGCCGGCCCCGCACCCACCTGCGCCTCCTCCCAGCGCGGCAGCCATGGCTCTTCGCCCGGCCCAGGCGGCCGAGGCGGCGGGTCGCGGCAGCGCCGCGGTGCCGCCCGCCGGAGCGGCGGGTGCCGGTGTCGCGGCGAAGGACGCGGGCGAGGGGCCGGGAAGGGCTCGGATTCAGCGCCCGGCGGGCCCCGCTCCCGCCGCCGGAGAACAACAAACTAGCACAACATGGCGGCCGCCACCGCCGTCGCCGCCGCGCTGCATGCTGGGACGGCGGCGGACCTCGGTCCCTCCCCCGCGGCGGGGGCGGGCGGGCGGCGCGCGCCGCCGGTTGGTCGCTGCGGCGCCCTCCGCGCGTGCGCGGCGGCGGGAGGGCGGGGTGGGCGGTGCGCGTGGGGCGCGTGCGCGGCGGCGTGAGGGCGGAATGGCGGCAGGGGCGGGGCTCGGGCACGAACACAGACGCGGGCACGGTTCGCTGTCCCGGCTGCGGGCGGGGCGGCCGAGCTGGTGCTGGTTCCCTTGGCCTCGACAAGCAGGGGCAGTGGGAGGGAGAGACTCCCTCGTGGGGGTCTGTGTATGTCTCTTGCGGACGTGGGTGACTCCTCGTACCACCGCTGAAATAGGCGGCTCACGCTGAATCCCGGTCTCAGTCCGCTTGGGAAAGACCCCTGAGATCATCGAGGCCAGCCGTGACGGAACACCAGCGGCACCCCGGCACTGAGTGCCCCATCCAGGCTTTTTTAAACGCTTCCAGGAACCGTGACTCCTCCACCACCCTGGGCAGCCCATTCCAGGCTCTGATCGCGTATTTTGTCCAACCTAAACTTCCCCTGGTGCAGCTCAAGACTATCTCCTCTTCTCCTATGGCAGATTGCTTCAGAAATGAGATAGACTCTCCTTTGACCACATCCTCCTTTCAGGTGGTTGTAAAGAGTGAGAAGGTCCCCCTGAGTCTCCTTTTCTCCAGGCTGAACACCCCCAGCTCCCTCAGCTGCTCCTCGTCAGTCCTGTGCTCCAGACCTTGTGCTCCGTTTCCTTTCTGCGGCTCCAGCGGATCCAATGTCCTTCCTGAATGGAGACTCCCAGAGCTGCACACATGGGGCTGTATTGAGGCTTCAGGAGTCACAGGTCCAGCTTGGACCACGGAATTCAGCTGCCTGTTGGGTGACAAAAATGCTCACGAGTTAATTAATTAAATACATCGTGAAGGGGATGGGTCAGGGTGTGTTAGGGAGATCTGTGGTCCCCCATCCTTCAAGGCTTGGGCACTCGGGGAAGTTGACCCATGTATTCATTGAAGAGCTTCCCCACTCAAACCTCACCCGAGTTCTCCTTTTACAGATTCAGAGTTACAATATGCTCATTTAGTTCCCTGCAGGCTGCAAATCCCTTCCTGCTGGCACTCCAAGCACTGCCCTCCTGGCTGCTTGGCTACTTGCTCCCCTCTCATTTTAAAGGACCCAGTGTGGCTGCTGAGTATATCAGTTTGGATCACTGATCAGAAAAGTAATTACCAAAAAGTTTCCCTTCCAACCTTCCTTCCTGACTCCTCCAAGTTTTAACAGGGAAATCCAGACTTTTGCACAGGCCAGGTTAAATGCAATATAAAATTATGCCATGACATAAAACAAACTTCTAGGTTATGCTGCTTATAAGAAAACCAAATCTGACCTAAAACAATTTAATGGAGCCAACTATAACAAGACTAGTTCAAGTAAACGGCAAAACTTTCCCAGGTGGACAAGTCCTCATGGAAATAATTAACAATGTTAGTATTTAAATTATCAGCGTTATCTGATTAAACCCTCGCTATGAGAATAGGGAAGTTCTCATGTCACTTTGTTCTGTGCTCCCTGCAGACTTGTCTCTACATCGCATTTAATCTCATTTTTCAGGTTTTCTTCACAACCATACAGCTAGAGGTTTATTCTTTATGTATTCCTACAAACTCACAGCCAAATTCTGCCTTTAATGTGGAAACAGGCCATCGGTAGGTGATGCTTGCTGATAATTTAATGTGGAGTCCATCAGTCCAGCTCTGATTGCCTGACACAGGGGTGATAAGTGAATACAACAGCTACCAATGGTAAAAACCCATGAGGATTGCAGTGGGGGGCCAGGAGTTCACCAATTGCTTCTTGGTATTGATCTTTCTTTCCTGAAGCTGGTTTGCAATACAAAAGGGTTTCCTGGCAAGGGAAGGAGTTTCCTGGGCCCTTTAAAGGCTGTGTGGAGCAAGACTCAGCCAGGCTCAGCTGTAGCCTGTTACAATTCACAGCTCTCTTGTCAAAATTCTCTGTATCCCTTTTGTTTGATGCTGGGAATTTTTTCAATATAAAAGTGTTCACAATGGGCATCTTTGTGGAATTCAGTTATGTAGAGGAGTACATTTTATGGATATTTTATGCTCTATAATTTTGCTCATTTAAATAGCAAATTTTTTTGACTGGCAGTCCAAACAGAAACCAATTCACCATTTTCTTAACAGACCAGTCTGATGTTAAAGAGGAATAAAAGGACACTTAGCTATTATTTTGTTAATATACAAACACTTTAGCCACTTTGCACAACTCTGGTACAAAAAAAGTGGCCATTCCCAGGTATCCAAACTTCAGCAGATGTGAAACAGAGATCTATATTATAATGACAGAGACAGCTATGGTGACTCTACTCACCTTCACTCAGAATTTTCTATGAATTTTCAAATTCCAGGAACTATACTTGCTCTGGATTCTGTATAAAAAGCTCCAACTTTTTCTCTGTACTACCTACACCATGATATAAATGGAAATGTCCTCATGTCTTCTTGGTAAGTTGACATAGAGCTTCTGGAACCCATGAGATAAAATTATTTTAGGTGAACTAATCATCATCAGTTTAAAAAATACTTTTGGAAGTTCTGCATTAATAACATATTTGCCTGTGCATCTTCCAAGCAAATCTTCATGCAGTCAGGAATGCAACAGATTGTCTTGCAAGGGGATTAAGTAAATGACAGAGAAAGAACTCAAGATCCAATAATCCTGGTTCTGCATTCACTGCATTACTGGTGCAGTTGTCAACTTCACCCTGATTCACATGCTGCATTTCCTGATTCAGATTTCTTCTTTTAAACCTTTCAGTGAAAATTGTTGTGTCCTAACTTCTCTACATTAACCTGTTTCTACAGTAATCGTCATTATCAGTTTTATTTACAGTGCGTTTAGATGTTAACATTTTCTTTTCAAATTTGTAACTTATTTCTGGGGTAGACATAGTCTTTTTTAAAATCTTTTTTTATACTTAAATCAATATTTATTTTTGCACTCTAGAATGGTTAAAAATCAGTCAGAAATCCAATACAGCAACCTTCCATGTTTAATTCCATTAAACACTTGGAATTAATATAAGGGTGTTTAGAACAGTGTTGCTTCCTATTTCCATAGACAAAATATACATTTTACTTACTTTTGAACCACAGTTACCTCTTAGTGAGCTTGCATTCTAGTCTGGCTAAACCAGACTGAGTTTTCACAGCATGGCAGGCTGGGCCAGTTGTGTTCTGCATTCACTGCAGTCTGGGTTTGGCTCATAACCTCCTTGTGCTGAACCTCTCAGTGACACCTGACATCTTCCATCCAAAGTTAAACTGGTCTTTGGGTGAACTCCTCCAAACCAGACACTTAACAGTTCCTGGGTTATTTCAGCAAACATCCTGTGATGCAGCAAATGTTCTGTCACACCTGACAGGAAATTCTGGATTTAAAGTGTACAAATGAGAGGTGCAAAAACAAATTTGCTCTCTTGTAGGTGTCACTGGGCCTGATCTATGACCTGTTGGCTGTGCCAGCCATCATAGGAGGCAGCAGTACCTCTTGAAAGAGAGACACAGGTGAAAGATGCTTTCCCTCTGAGCCAATCCCCTGGAAGGGCAGAGGCAGATTAGGAAATTTCAAAGTCTTAAAAACTAATAAATGTCGTACTTAAGGAAAGAGAGCAGTATATTTAAAACAAAGTATATGAAAAACACTGGTGATAAACCTTGAACAGAAACATTTCTGAGTTTGTATGACTAGCTATAGTTTTAGAGCTGTGGGCAGTGTTCATGTGTATACAATTTTGGTTTCACTGTAATTTTTCTTCTGTTTCCCCCTGCATTCTTGTTGCATATTATCCCCTTGTTGCAGCTTATCTGTCTTGTAGTCTGCAATGCACTTGATGCATCTTATTTCAACTGTAATTTTTTCAGAGCAACGTGACCCTTGGACCCCTTAAGCAGCCGTAAGAGTGGAGAACAGGAGAGCTGTGAGCCTGAGCAAGCGACGTGTCAAGTGTGTTATTGGTGTGTCACGTGTGGAGTCCATAGAAAGCTGGTCAACCACCAAAGATCAAAATCTCAACAGAACACATACCTTGTAGTGTAAAATATATGCATTTTTAACAGCTCCAACTGGCTGTGGGGAGGTTTGGGCTGTGCTTTGGGTTCCGAACAGAGAGCAGCACTCAGAAGCCTGTGTAGTTCTCTGGACCCCAATGTCTGCAGTATATTTTAGGAATCTAGTGAAAAGAAATCAAGAAGCACCAAGGAATCCAAGGTTAAATGTTTCACAGTGTTTTATTTCTAATTTTTTTTCAGTCTGGATGCTGGAGATGTTACTAAACTTTGCTTCATTTCACAAGGATCCCATCTGGTATCAAGGGCAGCACGTGAATCAGGGTGAAGTTGATGAATATAAGGCAGCCCTTCCTTTCAAAAATGATTCAATGTAGTGGATAATGTCTAAGATCCCCCATTCTTAGGTAAAGGGAGTGGTACCCCATGATAAACATATCAGAATAAATAAAGATTAGGAGTGTTTCCCAAGACTTCCTGACAAGGAGCCAATGTACAGCAGTGTTGGCCTTGCCCAAATGCTGAGCTTTGGGAAGAGCTTTCTTTCTCTGGACACAGGCCAGGCTGTAAAAGAGCAGAAGGACATGTGATGGCTCTAGGCAAACCTCAGGACATCACAAGGAACTCCTGTGGCTCAGATTCCTGTGACCCATACCTGTGAGCAAAGCACGGTGCTCTGCAGAGCCCCAATGAACATTGTGCACAGGTACCAAATGTCAGCAGTTGTGTACAAACTTCCAGATACTAGCTCATGTTCCTAAGAACTCCTCGTGCCAGAAGGCTATAATCCTGTTAAAAGCCTCTGGGAACTACTGCAATGCAAATAATAGTAGCAATAATTAGCTCTGCTTTAATTGATACTGTGTATTCCTCAAATGTCAGTGAAAATTTGCTTTGCTAAGCCAACAACTTCTCCCCTGGAACTCTGCTGTCTTTACCAGAATTACACGAGGGGTGAGTTTGGATCATTGTAGGTTCCTGGCATAAATTATCAGCTGTTGATTCCTTGCCCTTTAAAACTTGGCAAGCATACAAGAAGAGTTTGCCAGACATGCAAGAACTAGGTCTATGCATTTATGGGTAAATCCTCTGGGACTATGCACAGAAAGGAGTACAATTTGCTAGAAGTAGCCAGCTGTGAAATCTAGGAACTCCTGCACACAGCTCCAGCAACTTAGAGCATATTTAGCCTGGCATCAATACCAGCGGTTCCTGGAAGCAGTTTTTGCACCCTCAGCTTTATGAAAGCAGAATGTGATAGCAAGAAACCCTGTAAATGTGTGGAGATGCTAATTTTATAGAAAAATCCTAATGGGGGTGATTTGGAGGGGCATAGTCTAGAATTGGTTTATGGTTTATCCCAGTGGCTAGGAGTTGTCTCTGCTTAACATTGAGAGTGCAGGTCTGAGCACATCATTGGCATAAATTAGTAAAGATAACACCTCCAAAGCTCTCAGCATCTTCAGCGTGAACCATGTCCTCATCTGGACCTTACTGAGCACCTGAGAATTTTAATGTCCCCATCCTTCCTGGACAGATGTCTTGCCTTGTAGCACTGGTACAGCTCCATGATCAGATGCTCCTTAGGGCTTCTTTCTAAGGGGAGGATCAATGTTCTCTGCCTCTGGTTGTGTAAAGGTCAGAGCTAAGCTCGTTGTGTAACCTCCTTCACCGAGTTACATTAGGTGGGCTGAATGGTGCCTCTTAGCTGTGTGGAGACCTCTCTTGGTCAAAGAGGAGGGAAATAAATCCCAGCCAGAGTCTCTATTTTTACAGTACTGAACAAAATTAGTGCCCTAGCAGATCTCCAGTCCAACATTTTCCACATTTACTAGGGAAAGACTCCTGGCTTGGAGAGCTTCAGTTCATTGTTACAGAACCAAGCCATATCTGTGTTTGCTGAGCCTAATGGGTAATGGGCTTAGACTATAATGGGGAGCTTCAAAGACTCAGAGATACAATGCACCTGATTTTATGGGTTTTCCATATGTACGAAAGTGTTGTTGCCAAACAGACTCAGGAACAAATCACTCTAGCACATTACTAATAAGCCAATTAGTGAAATGAAGCATTGCAAGTAATAGACTGCTTTATGCAAATATGTTTGTGTAGAAAACAGAATCATTTGAACTGGGTTTACATTCAGGAAGACCTTGCCAGTATGATATGTGGTGATAGTTGCTATAGCTGTTATTGATCAGTTTCTCTTTTCATCCCGATATGTGTGGATTCAAATGTAACAAGTGATGTGAGCCTTAATGAACACAAAGATGCTCAGGATTTAGACCTTATCATGTGTTTTTTTCAGTAGCTACATTTGGTCCACAGGTTTTGCAACACCTTCTAACATTAACTTTGGTTATACTATTTTTCCAATACAGTTCATTAGCAGAACCAGTATCTTATTTGGTTCAAAATCCACACATATTTTACATTCAGCTAAATTCCTTACAAGGAAGAATGATAGAATTAGGGCTTATGTATCAAATCAGTTTGATTTGGGAACTTTAATTTATCTAGTTGATCCAACAGATTTATTTAGCACAGCCTGTCCACGTTAAGCTGAGCACCCTTTTTGTAATAAATTCCTGGCAGCCCAGGAGCAGGTTATGGAACATGAGCCATTACAGCGGGCTGAGGTACAGGGAACCTATAGAGATGCATTATCCAATGCACAAGTTGAAGTGCTATCTTGTATAACAAATTATTGACTTCGTTGTACATAGTACTAGGATTTAATTAAGCGATAAGGCCCATCATAGTGGCCCTTTATCTAGCAGATAAGGATTTACCAAGCTTACCCAAGAGGTCTTTATCTGAAAGATAAGAAAAAGGTACATAAGGTGCCTTCTGCTTTTAAATCTTTAATTGAAAGACCTTATTTTTTTAAGTTCTAGGTTGTTTTTTCTTCATGACTTAGTATTAAAGATTCAGATGGATTTTTGTGAGGGAGGTTGTAGTAGGGAGGAATGTTACCAGTCACCTTCACTGTGTGAAATTAATAGGATTTATGTCATTTTTATACACATTTTTATTCATTTTTATTCACAATGTACCAGCTCTCAGATGAAGTAGAAATTCAGCCTCTGATTTTTCCAGTGACTTCATGATCCCATGGCCATAAAAAAGATTCATTCATTGACAATTTCAGAGAGTTGTAATTGTGATTAGGTTGTGAAATTTAGGAAAATTTGTGATTTCACAATAGACAAAAATGGAGGAAAATAATTTAAAGACAGTTCTTTTAACGACTGTGTTGTCAGCTAAGCTAAATGATGCCTAGTCCTTTACCTATGTGATGTAAAGATATGTAAGCAGAAAACATATAAAGAAATTAAAGCTAATACAAAGAACTGGCACTTAGAATGAGCTTAGCACACTGGAAAAGACAAAATAATACTACTGCTAGTGCTCAGTAGAGAAAAACAGAGAGTAAATTCCAAGGAAAGGAGAGAAAAGCATATGTTTTTTATGAGAAAGGCACACATAAGGGCCACTGCATGGTTGAAAACAGGACAGGATCTTTGGATTTAGCTGATTTAATCCCCAATGTTACAGACACTTTTTAAATAGAATCGTTTCATAAAGGCTCAAGCTCTTTTTGGGAGTAGCTGGCTTGTTGCCTCCCCCTCCCATGGAGGAAGGCTGTTGTGCAACATCCGTACACTCATAATGACCTGGCATCTTCCAGTTTACAGTATGACTGTGTCCCTGGCCAGTCCATACTTGTTTTTCCTTCCCTGCTGATGCTATGTTTTAGCCTAGTGATATTTCCTCCTTCCCAGTGTTTGTCATTCCCATCCTCACGTAAGCCCAGACATCAGCCAGCCTTTACCACAGTACATGGACAGAGCCCTCCTTGAGCCATTCTGTCCTTGCTGGTCCAGAAGTGACAACCACCTATTGACTCTGTGCTCCTTCTGGGACTGGGGACATATCAGACTCACTGTTAGTTCCACCTCAAGTTGCTTTGTGTATGCTCTGTGAAATTCTCCTGAATTTCCAGGCATCCAAGAACCTAAGCTGCCACATACTGGAAATTCAGTAGGTTACTGCCCAAAGCAGTTGTCTACCACATAAATTGATAGCGTTGGCAGTTCTGCTTGTGAAAGACCCCCTGTTCCCCAGATTGTTAATCATCCTGCTCTGCACCTGTTCCAGCTTGAATTCTTCATGCTTGAACAAGGGCAGTAAAGCAGAGTCTGAAGGGATCAGATTGTATTAGAAGAGCTTGGAGCAATTCAAGCCAGGACGGAGTAGCAATTATAATGAGAGATACCCTCCAGGTTACACGAGAGGCAAATTGCCTCAGCGGTGAGCAGAAGTTTGTAGTGCTGCTTTGAGACTGTTTGTTCAGGAACCAGGGGATTCCATTTCTGTTGTTGACAATATGACACTTTTTATGGGCAATTGATTCCCATTCTTAAAAACTATCTGGCACGGAGGCAATAAGTGAGTGGAAAGGTGTGAATTAAAATATGTACATGGCTAAAGATGATCACTCGGGTACTTGCTTAGATTTGAAATTCCAGCTGCGAAGCTGGTATTATTCTCTGTTACTCCACCTGTCCTCCAGTAATTGCCCCATAAGCAATTCTGCTGTGTCTTTTTTCTTATTTATTTGCAACTCTGAAAACTGTTTGAGCTTTCTGCTTCTGAGAAAACTCTAAGTAGGGTCCCTTCACTTTAATATACCCAACATGGGGTTCCTTCACATTGGTGTGACCTCCCATGCCTGCAAGTCTTTGAAACAGGTTTTTGCTGCCTCATAGTCCAGAGAAGCCAATGAAGATTCATCCACTGGCTTCAGCAGAATAACTTTCCCACCACACACTTCATGTTTATTTCACTCAGAAAAAGATTTTGTCTGAGTGTTGCCCGCAGGCACTTCTGCTGTTCTCTTCTTCCCTGACAACATGGGAACAAATTCAACAGCCCTTCACTTACATGTATTTAAAAATGAAAATTATTTTGCTGAGCACATTTGAATGGTATCTTATAAAAAGGGATATTTCTTCCTTGAAATCACACTCCAGCAGGAGCTGCCCCAGTCAGCAATGTGTGCTCTCTCTCCCTCTGTAGTTGTTCCATTAAAGTAATGTGAAAGCTACAACTGTGTGTCCACTGTCATTCTGTGTTAGAAGTCAGGGGTAAGGTAATGATATGCAAGGTTGATCCATCTGTAATACTTTCCTTGGAAGTACAGTTGTGCCGTTTCTGCTGTCAGCCTGTATTTAGAGTGCAGAGAGTGCTGCATGACTTGAAAGCAGCAGTAGGCAATTCCCAGTTTAAGCCTTAGATATTTACATATTTATGCTCACTTCAGCAGAGTAAATATGCTATGAATAAATCCTATTATGTTTGAAACTGTACTTACAGTATAATAAAACCACAGTACTGTGGTGCAATCTCAGATTTTATTTTGGTGTCAATATGGGCATAAATTTTGTAAATTTTATATTGTTAACATTACAGTTATCATCCAAAAGTAATTAGAATACCTTGTATCATGTGAGAAAATAAAGAAGAAAAACTTTTAAACAAAAATTTAAGGAAAAACATTGCCTGCAGGTAAAACAGTTCTGGCAGAAATGGCCAGTCCACCAGGGGTGACTCTATAGCTGTTACCTTTGTTATTATTACTGTTTTTAAGTTGTGTGCATCTGAATGTGCCATATAATAAAAAAAATTCTTTTCCAAGGGATGTCTGATACTATGCCATGATGTTGCATGTGTCACAACCATATGCTGGTGTTGAGTTCTGGGGAAGAGATCATTTGATACCTACCAAGATTTCTTAGAGTTTATGTTCTGGAAAAGATGGCTGGCTGCTGCTTGTGTTTGTGGGATCCCTGCAGCAGTTATTGCAGCATTATGCTAAGATGAGGAATCCCTATCAGAACAGAGGCAGTCTTTTCTTGTAACAAAAACCCCAGCCAGAACACCTGCTTTGTGTTCTGAGTCTTGCTACCAACCTATTCCATGACCTTTCTCAAGACATGACACCTTCCTCTGCTTTTATTTCCTTCCCATCCTCCACGTGTATGTTGTGTACTCTTCATAATATTACCATCCAAAGGAATTTTAAATGCTTTCATTATTTCAAAGCACTGATTTGTGTGTGTGCACAAATCTTTAGCACTAACATCTCCTCTGGTAGACTCCTGAAGAAACCAATGAGCTGCTCACTGTAGGAAGCTCTGTAGTGGGCTCCACATGGTTGCTTTGCTTTGACAGCTTGACCTCAAATCCACTGAAGTAGAAGAGTTTACCTCAGCACAGACAACCCCCTAATATTTGCCAAGAGCCTTTTGGTAAAATCAAAGATCAAGTCCTGATCTATCTGCTAGATGATGTATGAAGACGACCCATCTTAATTGGAATAGTCATAGGATTTTCCATGGAGTATTTGACAGCATCAATTTAGGCTAAAGCTTTTGTATTGTGAGATGATCTGTGCTGCAGAGGGAACTTCCAGGCTCAGGAGCAGACTCAGAGAAGCTGAAAGTGTAACACTTTTGTGTATGTCCTCCTAGTGCAGGGCATGAGAAGTCTCTTGCAGAGAACCTGAATGAAGGAAAAGGAGTTGAAGGACTTATGGAGTAAGAAGAGTTGAAAAATAAAAAAGGTGAGGAACTATAAAAGCTGTAAAAAGAACAACATGTATCTCCAGCTAAGCACATAAAATAGTCATAGCAGGTTGCTGATGATAATTCAGGCTTTGCTGGACACAGGGATTTGGGCTGAATCCAGTAATGTCTACTTGTCAGAGAAAAGATAAAAATATCAATTAAACCTTTTGACATTTTCCATTGAGACTGAAATGTTCTTCTTAACTTTGAGGGAAGAGTGAAAAAACCCATGTCCAAAAGGCATTTGCTGATTTTTTTTCAGACAAAGTATTCTCTCTGAAATTTCCAGGTGGAATACTTTTTAAGAAAGGCCAGTTTTATTAAGAGTTTCAAATAGAGGCTGGTGCCAGTGCAGTCTGCAGCCTTGGATTGTGTGTTGAGTGTGTGAGGTGTAAAGAGTTTCTGGGCTTATCTCAGAGCACCCTCATGCAATGCTCAAGGCTGTGCCTTCTGTAGAACATAAACCATGCAACTTGCTTTCTGTGGAGTTGTCGTGCTGTGACAGTGGCCATTTCACTTCCCATCATTGCCCCTCTGTTCATTTAATCTTCATTACTGTGTTTTCAATATATTGTTTTTATTGTTTTGTATGTTTAGTCTATGAGTTCTTTGAGGTAGAGACACTCACAAAAGCTAGGAGAAGGCAGATCCTAATTTTAATAGGAGAAAGAAACACAAAGATCTCATAAGAACATCACTTTGGTCAAAACTTGAGGAAGATTAGGAATCAGTATGCAGTTCTACTTTGAGCAACTAGCAAAATTAGCTCAAGAAACAGAAGAAATATCTTGTGCACTGCCTTTTACTGAAGTCTGGGTCAAATTTGCTTATATTTCTTTGCAGTTTGGTTTAGGGAAAATATATATTTCCTTCTGTTAGACATCAATAATGTGTTATTGTGACATATTCACAGGCCATTTATCCAGTCAGCACAATCTCAGGTCACACTACTCACCACAGGACCATTATTTAAAAAGCAAATTAGTCCTTCTATTAGGAGAATGGCTCTTACCTGTGTCAGTAAAGGGAAGACATCAGAGGTCACCCCCTGGTCCCCAGGATGAATGGTCTAGCTCACTGAACTCTTGTTACCCCCAGAAGAGGGTGGCCAGGCTCTCCTCACCACTCACCACTTCTATTACCATTTTAAATTAAGAATAAAATGCTACAGGAGAATTAAAGGTCTATAGAGACATATGAGCTACATCAGAAATTGCTGAAGCCTAATGTCACAGGAATCAAAGCTCATTTTCTAGACTTCTTGAGTGTGTGACTGCAGATACTGCCAGGGTTACAATGCAGAGCAGTGCAGGGATAGCAGCATGGCTTGTTTGGAGCTGGCTCAGGAGGCAGGAGCAGAGCAGTGACGTGCAGCTCCAGATACACCAATTCATCACAGTCACGCTGCTTCCCAGGCAGAGCAGCGTGGACCTTCACAAGGATGCTGTCCAAGATCACACAAGAAGTTTGATGTTATGGCAAAACTGAATTCCTCTGCCCTAATTCTCAGCCTCATACAGGACTATTGGGTCATTGTTCCCCTCTTAGGAGGTTAGATTTCATTTCTGTGGCGAATCAAACACAAATCTCCAGAAGATTGTTGTTCCACAGAACACAGACTGCTGGCAGTTGTTCCCAGACTTGAAGGCCCATAAAACAAATTATGGCGTTATTTACTGAGAGAACAGAAATATACTTTTAAATTGTAGCAAATACATTTCTAAATGGAGTCTATTAGGATTGTGGTGGGTAGGATTTTTGACATTGCTTTCAGTGAATAGAGCCCTGAGAAATTTGAAAGCATGAAGACCTCGAGTTGTTTTTATTTTAGAAAACATGAGAAATGTTTTCTAAAATAAATGAGAAATATGGAGAAAACTTTTGTTTTCTCAATAAACCACAATAACTTGACAGATCTTCTGCTGAGGATAGAGTGCACCAGAGCAAACCAGTATGTCTTAATTAATAACCCTGTCTACTCAGTACAGCTGCAGTAATACTAATCATTTCCCAAGTAGTCTTTTTAGACACAAAGGCTTTTTAGATTTCTGTTTGATTTGTTTTTTCAGAACTGTAGTGTTTTGAAGATAAATAAACGCTGCTAATGAATATGTATAAGTTTCCTGATGCAGAGTATCTCAGTGAATATTCTAGGGCAGTTTTGTACTCTGCAACGAACATGTTCCTTTGAAGTTTTTACTGATCTAAAAAGGAAGTCATTATGTTTGGGTCACACATTACTTTACTGATCTAGTTAGAAAAAGAAACTAAGCTTAGACAAAATATATTTCAAGACAGGAACACTTTTCAACTTCAAACCACAAAATACCATGAAAATTCTTCTCAGTAGCTCCCAGACAATTAAAAATCGGCTTAACAATATGGAACAAGATTTAGTTTTACTTTTCAGGAAAAACCCAACAAACCTCAACATTTTTTCATTGCTTAAAACAAGAAGATTGAGGGGCACTGGAGGACTAGAGATGTCTATATGAAGGTTGTATGGATACTATACTGTGAAGCACCTGCTGTACAGACTGGTGACTCCATGTCCTGCTGTCCAGGGAGAGCAGTGCTAGCTGGGTCTTGGGAGAGAAATGTCCCTGCTCCACATCCCTGGGCAATCCCAGGGACAAGAGCAGAACTGGCTGCATGGCTCTTTGCTTGTTGACTGTTCATGTGGTCTGATTTCAGAATGACAGCTGTGGGAACATCCTTCAATTTGGCTTTGATGGGAAGTGAAGGTGGGTGAGATGAAGTTTTTCCAGTGTTTCCAAAGCAGGGGTGAAAAAGTGAAATGTCCAACCTTCCAGTGTCGATCAAAAGACTGAAGCAAGAGCATTGTCCTGTTGCATAAAGTGCTGTAAAATCTCCAGGCAGCCCAGCCACATTCAGTCTGCTGCATTTAAGGTTATTTTGGAAGCATCATTCACCTTTGCCTTGGGGTAAGGGGACTATGCTTATTATGGGAGCATTTATAAGGATTATAAGAATTTATAAGAAAGTTGAGTAAAACTGATATTAGCTCCCTTGGTTAGAGCATGGTGCCAACAACATCACAGACTCGATCCCTGTATGGGCCATTTGCTTAAGAGTGGGACTCAATGATCCTTCTGGGTCCTTTCCAACTCACTGTTCTATGATTCTGTGACTGCAGCAACCAATGCTGAAGCCATCACAAGCTGCCACCCAAACCTCCTCATAGGCCCAAAATCCTTGCTCTCAGTCTCTCTGGAGAAGATGCTCTGTGTGTGTGTGACACAATCAACCGGGAATTAGTGAAATCCTTCTTTAACTGATGACTTAAAGCAGGATGCAAATTCCCTGAAAGGGAGGAGACAGATCCTGCAACCATCAATGCTCAGGTCCTGTAAGAAAATTAGCATTACAATAAGCTTTACTGCACCATGCAGAAATCCTGTACTCCATTTCACCCCAGGTACTTTGCCATGAGAACTCCAGTTCCAGCCTCACCATG